ACCCATACCAATGGCATCGCCAGAGAGTCTCCAAGCCTTGATGTCCCGGTCGTGGCCAGCACTAATCACCAACTCATAGCTGTCCACATACAGGATGTCTGCCACACTATCCAAATGGCCCTTCCAGGTCGCCAGAAGCATGGGGGGAGCCAGGGAAATGGTCTGGCCATCCACGACCTACAGGAGACCGTACAGGATAATTACTTATAGCAAGACCATCACATAGGCTCATCAGAGGGCACCCAGGGCTAGACAAAGCAGAGCCCTCAGGAAGGACCTAGGACAGGGGCTAGGCCTAGTTCTAGACACACTCCTACCTGAACTTCTGATGACCTTAGTTAAGTTCCCACACGTCTTTGGCCCTCACTGACCCTTTGGTAAAATCATAAAAAGCATTTATATATTGCTATATTATTTTTAATGTTTTTATTAATTTCAGATAAAGGAAGGGAGAGGGAGAGAGGGATAGACATAAATGTTGAGAGAGAATCATTGATTGGCTGCCTCCTGCACACCGCCCCACCACCACCACCAATCCCCCGACTGGGGATCGAGTCCACAACCTGGGCATGTGCTCTGACCAGGAATCAAACCCTGACCTCCTGGTTCATGGGTCGATGCTCAACTACTGAGCAACACTGGACAGGCATATTACTATATTACTTACCAATGCCCTCCCTATGGATTATTCCATTTGAACACAACAACCTTATGGGATGTGTATGAGTCTCGCCATTTCACAAAGAAGAGAAGTGAGTCAGAAATGTTCAGTAACCAGCCCAAGCCACATGCCGAGACAGTGATGGGGTTAGGACAAGAACCCAGGTCTTCTAAAGTTATTCATTTGGGCATTGGTAGTAGAATAGGGTGAGCAGGGGATGAGATATTATGTTATAGTATGAAAAAATAAACTCTTCTTAACAGGGAAATGAGTGAAAATATCCAAGACCATTGTAAAAAAAAAAAAAAAAAACTAAAAAAAAAAAAAAGATTAATTAGGGGCCCAGCCGGTGTGTCTCAGTGGTTGAATATCAATCCAGGAACCAAGAGGTCACTGGTCTAATTCCCAGTTAGGGCACATGCCCAGATTGTAGGCTCAATCCCCAGTAGGGGGTTGTGCAGGATAATTCTCTCTCATCATTGATGTTCCTATCTCTCTCTTCCTTCCTCTCTGAAATCAATTAAAATATATTTTTTAAAAGATTAAAATATGTAATACTTTCAACAATAAAGATTTAAAAAGAGAACACCATTATAACAACTTTACACTATTACAATTTAAAAAAAGATTAATGAAGGGGGACATATTTTACCATATGTTAAATCACAATAGTACAAACTTTAAACAAAACAATGGAAGACAATAGAGAGCTCAAAAACCAACCCAAATAAAACTTTGGTCTATGATAAAAGTGGCAGGAAAGCTGTGATAATACAGAGCAGGACCCAGTAAGCTGTGCTGGAATATCTGATGAATTACTAAGAGAAACTTAAATTATTGTCATATATCTTACAACTAAATAAACTGTAGATGGGTCAAAGAATTATTTTCAATGAAACATAAAACTTCTAAAAGAAACTATGAGTGAATATTTATCTTACCTCTGAATAAGCTTAAAAGAGAAAATAAGTCTGGAGATTCAAATTTGGAGTCACTAGCAAATCAATACCTTCATAAATTAAAAGGCAAATGACAAATTGGGGAAAATATTTGTAATATATGTGACAGACGATGAGTTAATACCTTTTAATATATTTTTAAATAAGTACAAAAGATGTTAGTTACTACAACAGAAAAATGGGCAAAGGACATGAAGAGGCAATTCACAAAATTATACATTGTCAATAAAATAAGGAAAGGCGTCAACATCATTAACAAGCGAAGTTATGTTTGTTAAAACCAAAAGAAATCATTTGTATCTAAAAGTCAGCCTAAAGTGTTTGGTTTGTGTGGTGTTTGGGTGTTTTTTTTTTCACTTCAAACATTTATTTATGTATTGAATGCCTTCTCTAAGCAAGGCACTCTGATTGATCCAGCGGTCCTTCACTCGGACGAATATCACTAATACCTTATGTCGTAAAAGATAAAACAAAATAGGCTAAAAAAGTGTAAAATTGTATATAATTTCTGGAATGCAGTTTGGCAGTATCCATTAAAGGTCTTAGAAAGGTTTATATTCTTTTTTTCTATTTAATGCTTTTTTTCCAATTTACATTCAATATCATTTTGTATTAGTTTCAGGTGTACAGCTTAGTGGTTAGACAATCACATACCTTATAAAGTATTCCCCCTAATATTTTCCGGTACCCATCTGGCACCATACATAGTTATTACAATATTATTGACTGTATTTCCTATGCTGTAGACATCCCCATGACTATTTTGTAACTACCAGACTATATTTCTCCATATCTTCACCATTTTTACTCAGTCCTCCAACCCCTCTCCCCTCTGGCAACCACCAGTCCGTTCTCTGTAATTATGAGTCTGTTGCTATTTTGTTTGTTCATTTATTTATATTGTTCTTTAGATTTCATATAAGTGAAGTCATATGGTATTTGCCTTTCTTTGACTGACTTATTTCACTTAGCACAATACCCTCTAGGTCCATCCATGCTGTCACAAATGGTAAAATTTCATTCTTCTTATATTCCCAAAGCAGAATCACTGGGTCATAAGGCAGTTCCATTAAAGATTTGTGTTCTTTTGCATACTACTTCCTTGGGATAAATTACCAGATGTGCATATAAACAGCTACCAACAAATAAAAAAGATTCATGAAAAAAATATTTGCTCTATAGTTTTATACTATTAAAAACATTTTTATTAAAATACTAAAAGCCTGGTGCACAAAAATTTGTGCACTCACGGGGGTCCCTCAGCCCGGCCTGTGCCCTCTCGCAGTCTGGGACCCCTCAGAGGATGTCCACCTGCTGGCTTAGGCCCGCTCCCTGGGGGATCAGGCCCAAGTTGGCAGTCAGACATCCCTCTGGCAGCCCGGCAGCCCTTGGGGGATGTCCACTTACCAGCAGGGAGCAGACCTAAGCTACAGTCGGATATCCTTAGTGCTGCTGAGGAGGTGAGAGAGGTTCCCACCACCACCACTGTGCTGGCAGCCATCAGCCTGGCTTGTGGTTGAGCAGAGCTCCCCCTGTGGGAGCACACTGACCACCAGGGGACAGCTCCTGCATTGAGCGTCTGCCCCTTGGTGGTCAGTGTGTGTCATAGTGACCAGTGATTCCCAGTCATTCTGCTGTTAGGGTCAATTTGCATATTACCCTTTTATTATATGGGATAATTCACATACAATTTACTCATTTACAGTGCTCACTTCAGTGTTTTTTAGTATATTCATAGAGTTTTCCACCACCATCACAATCAAATTTAGACCATTTCATCACCCCATAGTTTGTATAAATGGAATCATATAGTATGTGACTGACTTCCTTCACTTAGCATACGGTCTACAAGGTTCCTCATGTTGTAACATGCATCAGTACTTCATTCCTTTTTATTACTGAACTAGTGACCCATCGCACAAAATTGCACAAGACCTTGATCCCCCTCACCCCCCACCCCCGTGCCATGGGACTGCTCCGAATCCCAGAGTTCCACCCCATGTGGCTGGCGCATCACAGGATGATCCCCAAGTCCTGGAGTGCCGCCCCAATGGCCCGCCTCCTGGCCATGCACAGCGGCTGCCAGGCCCCGCCCCCCACGGCATGCACACAGGGCCTCAGAAACCCTGGCAGAAGCTGCACAGAGCAGCCACCAGCCCCGCTCCCACTGTGCCCGCCACCATCTTGTGATGGTGTTACAGTGTGAGGGTCAATTTGCATATTGCCTCTTTATTATATAGGATAATAGCAAATACATACACAACATTCATTTCCAATACCAGATATTACTCTGTACAGTATATATACCACAATTTATTTTTCCAATCTACATTGATGGGCATTTGGGTTATTTCAAATTTGAAGTTATTACAAACAGTAATCCTATCAACATTCTTATTCATATTTCTTAGAGCATAGATTTCTCTTGGATATAAACCTAGGAGTAGAATTGCTCACTTATGGAACAGGCACATCCAGCTTTAGTAGCTATAGTTCTCCAAAGTGATTATACCAATTTATATTCCTACCAGCAGTAGAAATTCTAGCTGATCTGTATCCTTGTCAACATTTAGTATTGCCTCTCTTTTTAGTTTTAGTCATTCTAGTGGGTGTGCAGTAGTATCACATGGTGGCTTTAATTTGCATTTTCCTGATAACTAATGAAAAGGTGCTCAACTTCATTAGTCATCAGAGAAATACTGATTTTTGTACTATATAAATATATTACCTGCTCAAGAAAATACATAAATATTTTTATTATTTTTAAAAAGAATGCATGATTGCCCAGCCGGCCTGGCTCAGTGGTTGAACATCGACCAGGTCACGGTTCAATTCCTGGTCAAGACACATGTCCAGGTTGTGGGCTTGATCCCCAGTGTGGGGCATGCAGGAGAGAGCCAATCAATTATTCTCTCTCATCATTGATATTTCTCTTCTCTCTCTCTCTCTCCAGTGATTCTCTCATCATTGATGTTTTCCCTCCCTCTCTCCTCTCTAAAATCAATAAAAATTGTTTTGTAAAAAAAAAAAAATTTTTTTTAAATGCATGACTTCAGAGCCCTCACTGCAATAATTAAAGCCCATCAAAGGTGTGTGTGTGTGTTTGTATACATGTTCAAGTGCACTCATGTGGGTGTATTTAATGTGTGCATCCTTGTGTTTTACTGGTTAATGGTGACTTCTGGTTAACAAAAATTTGTCCCAATGAACCAGACAACCTTGAACAGGAAAATGAGAGACTCAGAATCTCAGTGCAAGAATCATGGTCCAGCTATTGAGTAGAGCATATCCAGTACTCTTCCTACCTCCTTCTTGTCCGAGGGGATGTTGTATTCGATGTTGGTCTGGATCAGTTTAGGAATTAAGAACTGGAACTTGTTTATTCCACTGGGTTGAGATGACTGCCCATCAGTGACTGTGCAGTAATCATCGATGTCCCAGATCTAGGCACAAGATGTGAGTTAGTGGCCCAGCACCACTTCACTCCAGCACAAACTCACTCTGGATCCCTCCCAGACCACTGCTCCTCACTTTAGCGGGGCAGTTCTTATTCACACCTCTAAGATAACCAGATGGTCAAGCCCAGAAGGGGCCCAAGTAATCTTCTAGGTCAGACCCCTTAGTAGCATGCAGAGAGGGTGAGACTGGCCCCAGGACAAGACACTCTTGCCTTGTGTCTCACCACAAAGCATGAAATCAGTTCCTGAAACAACAGACCACAGATAAGATGCATGGCTGGGGGGTGAGGGAGCCTTAGGGAGACAAGGATGGAGCACAGGATTCACTGGGGAAGGAAGGCTTCGTGGAGGGGCCTTTTGAATCAAACCCTCAATCCTTTCACTGGGCATGCCAGAGCAGGGAAGGATTTTTAAGGCAACCCATCCTACTGCCCACTATTTCACAAATGAAAACATACCCTTAGGGATTAGGCTAGGGCCACCTGTGACAAAGAGGAGGCTAGAATTTGGCTGACACCAGCCTCTCAGTCTCCATGCCACCTTCCTCACCTTGATGAACCCTTTACTATCCCCCGTGACAAGAATGCAGTCATTTTCGTCAGTGGCCATGGCACCCACGACCACGTCTCCGAGGCCTCCAGAGTCCACGCGGAACTTCCCCAGCAGGCCTCCGTACCCATAGATGGACCAGGCGTAGATGTAGCCGTCAATGCAGCTGCTCAGCAGGGCAGCCATCTGTGGCAGGCGAGGTCTGCTTTGCAGGAAGATTATCTGTGCAAGAGAGGTGGACCTGCTCAGCTGGCCGCTGCCACACGGTGCTAAGGGGCCCGCCTGGCAAGTCACCACACTGATCTGGTCCCCCAATAAACTAGATGCCCAGTGAGAATGGTGATGGGGTACCACGCTTCCTCACTGGCGACCAGGAACATTTTGCTGAACTATGAGCTCCTAGATGGCAAGGATGTGTGTCTGTTTTTGTTCATGACTTTATCCTCAGCAACTAAGATGATGCCTGGCACATGGTACATGATCAATAAATAGACGCTGAATTGTCCTAAGGCTCCAACAAGATTTTCTGAGACCTGTAGCTCAGCCCAAAGCTATTTGGAGGATGAGTTCATTCCCTTTCATATATCACTACAGTGAAACATTTCCATTTTCAGCCAATTGCCAAAAATTCTTCACCAAATTCTTCTTCAAGTCTTAGTTGGATCATGCCCTTTGCTAAATCCCCGTAGTGCTCACTTTCGATTACATGGTCACTCCCATGGTTTACGTGGGGGCTACAGTGGGGAGTTACTCTGTATGAGGAGCATGTGAAGAGAGCCGCTCGCCTGGGACCCACCTCGCATGAGGCAGAGGGAGCACAGTTAGGGATACAAAGTAAATCAGGCCACGCAGGGAAACTGGAGGCTTCCCAACTCATACTAAGTCAGAAATTACAGTGGTGGCTTCTGGGTTCCCACAACATGCCTTCAACAACAATTGAAATCTCATTTATTCTCGTCCTGGGGTCCAAAACAAAATGCTCAACCAGGTGCCAGGGTCATAGAACCCAGAGTCCCTAAACCAAAGGAAAAAGCAAGCACTTCCCCATTTTTGCAAGTGTTCTTGTGCACCGCACAAAATGTGGACAGCACGGGTCGATGAAAAAAAATTAAATCATCCACAGGATCCCAATAACCAGAAATAATCACATTACAATTTTAACGCATTTCCTTCAGCTTTTTTTCTAATTGCATCATCTATAAAGACTTTTATCATATCTCTTAAAAATGTAAAACATCCATGCAAGAATAGACAAATATACCAATGGAACAATAGAGAGGGTCCAGAAATAGATTATAGAAGATTATCTTATATAATAATGATAGAATTTCAAGACAGTAAAGAAAAGATAAACTATTCAATAAATGGTATTTGAGTAACTGGCTACCAATTTAGGGAAAAAAGAACAACTAGATTCATACATCACACCATACACAAAGTTACTTAGATGAAAAAAAAGCTGACTAAAAATATATAAAATCATAAATGTCTAGAAGAAAATATAACAAGCCCAGCTAGCATGGCTCAGTGGTTAAGCATCAACCTATGAACCAGGAGGTCTCAGTTCAATTCCCAGTCAGGGCACATGCTGGGGTTTCGGGCTTGATTTCAGTGGGGGGTGGGGGAGGGTGCAGGAAGCAGCTGATCAATGATTCTCTCTCATCAATGATGTTTCTCTCTCTCCTCCCTCCCTCCCCATCCTCCCTTCCTCTCCGAAATTAATAAAAATATTTTTAAAAGAAAATATAACAAATTTTTCTGTGACCCTAAGCCTCAGTGTGATACCACAAAGGCAAATGAGGGGAAAATATTTTTAATACACAAACAGGCAAAGGATTAATTTCTAGAGTATATAAAGAGACCAAAAACTTAATAAAAAGAATTTAAGTATATGAATAGACATTTATTTCATTAAAGAAATACAAGTACATGACAAATATACAAAAAGGCTCAATATCACAAATAATCAAATAAATAACCCCCCCCCCCCCCCAAATGCTGTTTTCCACTCACCAGACTAGCAGAAATGAAAGGCTAATGTCCACCTCCTCTGTGAAGCCATTCCTGACCACCCTATTCAAACAATAGTGTCCTCTTCACCTCCTCTGCCATTCTCCCTGCCTTCTTCCCAGTTTTCTTGTTCTCTGCTGTGCTGGCTCACCCTGTGGCCTATCATTTATTTTACTCACTTAACTAGAATGTCAGCTCCATTAGGGCAGGGGTTCTTGTCCCTCACTGCTGCCCCCACCCCCAGTGCCTGGTATGTGGTAAGTGCTCATGATAACTGTCAGTGCCCAAACAGAATGAAGTCACTGACCCGAAAGGAGGGGCTTTGAGTCATCTCCCTCAGTCAGAGTCACGGATTGAAAGGACTGGGGTCTGTTGGCAATTCTGCTCTCTGAAATCCACGCTTTCAACATATTCCCATAAGTGCAGAGAAATGCATATACAAGGATGCCCAGTGCAGTGCTGCAGGGAAAAGTTCAATGAGGGAACTAACCTGCCAGTTCATCAATGGAAGGCTGGCTTCATAGTTTATGATACATTCAAACTATGGGGCACTATGCAGTGATTAAAAAGAATAAGTAAACGTCAAAAGAATAAGCTGAATCTAAATTACTGATATAAAAACATATCCATGGTATATAGTTAAATTTTTTAAAAACAGCAAATGGCCCAGCCAGTGTGGCTCAGTGGTTGAGTGTCAACCTATGAACCAGGAGATCACGGTTTGATTCCTGGATCTCCCATTAGGGCAGATGCCTGGGTTGTGGGTTCAGTCCCCAGTGATGGTGGGTAGGGGGGTGTGCAGGAGGCGGCCAATCAATGATTCTCTCTCATCATTGATGTTTCTTTTTTTTTTTTAATTTATTTTTTTTTTATTACAAAGGGTGTTACATATGTGTCCGTTTTTTCCCCCCTCCCAAGACAGTCCCCTAGCCTCCCCTATCCCCCAGTGTCTTATGTCCATTGGTTATGCTTATATGCATGCATACAAGTCCTTTGGTTGATCTCTTATCCCCCTACCTCCCGCGCCCGGACCCTCCCCGGCCTTCCCGCTGCAGTTTGACACTCTGTTTGAGGCAGCTCTGCCTCTGTATCTATTATTGTTCAAAAGTTTATAATGGTCTCAATTATCCATGAATAAGTGAGATCATGTGGCATTTTTCCTTCATTGACTGGCTTATTTCACTTAGCATAATGCTCTCCAGTTCATCATTGATGTTTCTATCTCTCTCCCTCTCCTTCCTTTCTGAAATCAATAAAAATATCTTTAAAAAGAAAACAACCGAAAATGGAATGGCAGGACTATAATTTAACTATAACCTAGCTATAATTTTACATCACTGGTCTGAAAATAAAAGGCTAAGACTAAACCAATCCATTACCAGTGACGGTGACAGTGTGGCTCAGTGGTTGAGTGTCAACCTATGAACCAGGAGATCACGGTTTGATTCCTGGATTCCCCATTAGGGCAGATGCCTGGGTTGTGGGTTCAGTCCCCAGTGATGGTGGGTAGGGGGGTGTGCAGGAGGCAGCCAATCAATGATTCTCTCTCATCATTGATGTTTCTTTTTTTTTTTTAATTTATTTTTTTTTTATTACAAAGGGTGTTACATATGTGTCCGTTTTTTCCCCCCTCCCAAGACAGTCCCCTAGCCTCCCCTATCCCCCAGTGTCTTATGTCCATTGGTTATGCTTATATGCATGCATACAAGTCCTTTGGTTGATCTCTTACCCCCCTAC